CTAATGATGATTAATTAATATGCTAATGTTAGAAATGACTTTAACTTCCAGAATAGTTTTCCTCTCTCCAAGTAGGTAGTTTAGTTTTTAATAAACTTGAAAGCCTGAAAACAAATTATGATTTCTCAAAAAACCCCTCTCAGCAGAATAGGGCTGAGCATTTCAGCATGAAACCAGAGCAAAATGGCATGGTACCATTTGTGGGGTGCACATCAATTTCTTTAATTAAAATCTAAGGGAATGGTAAATATGCTAATGAGGACGAGATTTCTAAATGAAGACTCCCTGAGAAATCACGTATTTTTAGTTAAATTTTATGCAACTATTGCTGTAAAATAGCTGTATTTCTTCAAAGTACACGTCTGAAATTTCTACTTTTCCCAATTTTCTATAAACTATTTACACATAACTGAGAATCCATTTATAACACCTGTCAAAGCAGAACTTCAGCTGAAGTTAAACAGGAAAGAGGGCTTTGTTCAAGGACACTGTAATAAGAGAGAGGCCAGAGCTCAGTCAAAGCTGAAGTCCTCTGGAACAAAGAACTGGAAAGTTTTAAGGGCTGGAGGGAAAAGATGTTAGGAATTACATGTTAGTTAATTGGCCTACCTAAAGCAAAAGTAAACTTTCTCAGGATTTCATGATGGGAAATAGTTCAACTTAGAGCATGGCTGCCCACAGAAGTTAGGCTCCTGCCTTCTCACAGAAACTGAGGAACAGAAATGCTGTCACTCTTGATATTATGTGCCAAAGGGATGGCTCCATGATCCTTCAGGCTGTGTTGGGATGTAAGACAAGCAAAAGAATTTTAGTTTAAATGTGCATCTTACAGGGGACAAGAAATAATGACTAACACATTTTCTGAAGTAATTGTTCTTAAGAAAGGAAAGGAAATATTTATGAAGTCTTAAGCTTTGTCAAGCTGTGGGGAGAATAAACACGGCCTGGGTCATACCAAATCTATATTTCTCACATGTGTGTTTGAATTAAACTGTTCACCTTTTCCTTATAACCCTTCTCTATCTTTCTCCAGATTTCAACTTTGTTTCCCTTATTACAATTAATGGTAAAATGAGGCTGTTACAGGGATGAAAATCAGATACCACACACTGGGATGAAGAGCGGGTAAGCACCGGACACTCATTCGTATGTTTTTCCTGCATCTAACCGCATCTCTTCAAATACTATAAGGTGTGATTGAAATATATGAATATTTACATTTTTTAAAAATATTACTAAAAGAAACATTACAATTAATTCTCTTAAATACTACCTCTCCTTGCAAGCACATCTCCTGTCCTTATATAATGCCAATTTCTGAAACAGTTCTGAAATCCTCTTTCCTGTCTTTACAAAGTGTGATAAAAATATGGTGAATGTCATTGCCCAGTGATATCCAACTGAAAGTCAGGCTATAAAATATGATGTTGTGTCTTCATCCACCTTATTCCCTCCATCTGGCACCATGTGACTTCTGGATCTTCCCCAAAGTCAAAATGACCTTAAAGGGTAAACATTTTTAATTGGTTCAAGACATCGAGGCATCAATGACAGAAAAACTAATGACACAAAAGAGGAGTTCCAGAACTGCTTGAGAAAGTGTACAGAATATGATAAATGTGTTTGAAATGAGAGGAAGTACTCTGATTAACTGTAATATGTCTTTTGCTGTAATATTGGTTTATTTTTAAACTTAAACATTCACTGAATTTTTTGCTTATACAACTTGTAGACAAGAATCTTTCATGTTTTAATTTCTTCCTAAAGGTCAGCCTCTTTCCCTGTAAATCTTCTACAGCATATCATATTACTCTTGGGTGAAGCCTCTTCCACAAAAGTAACAAAAATTCCTGATGCTCTGCTTTAATGTTCTGTCTGTTCTTAGAAATAAAAATGAATAAAATAAAAACAAATATGAAATCAAATACTTATCTGAAGATTAAGTAGATTCTGTGCAGGACACTTGAGAATATATCAGTCAACTATTTACAACTGTTCACATAAAATCAAAAAGCAAATTGTTCTCATCCTCTGTGCAACTAATCTTTGTATGGGGCAAATATGAATTTTCCCCCATTGCATTCAATTTTGCATTTTTTACATCATCCTATTCCCCTGCTATATCTTATTTTCCAATATTGGGTCATCTTTGTAATGTGACGGTTTAGTAGAAATATTTGGGAGGCAGAAAAATCTAGACTCTAATCCTGGGCCTTTCTTTTTTTTTTTTCCCCCTAGCTTTGGAGCCTTAGATACAATTGCAACGGCTCAGTTTTCTTACTGAAAACTAGTCGAGCAACCATTTGAAAGAAGATGTGTTAGTGAGACAATGGGATGAACATGCCACATTCACTGGAGACAGCGCTTGTCACCTTCTTTCTTTCCTGTGCTGCCTACTCTGTGTGTGAGTCTTGATTTCTTTCATACTGAGAAGAGAGAAAAATAATTAAATAATACATAAAGTATTTGATCTACGATTTCTCTGATGTGATAAATGTCACATTAAAGCTATATACTGTAGTGTTAAGAGTTAGAAGGCTGGGGATTTAGCTCAGCGGTTTGGTGGCCTGCCTTGCAAGTGCAAGGACCTGAGTTCAATCCCCGGTAACAACAACAAAAAAGAGAGAGTTGGAAATACCTGATATTATTAGAGTAATGTGATAACAATTTTAGAAGTCCAAGTATATTTCCATATGACTGATGTTAAAGAGGCATTAGAAAAATAATTTTTCATTTAACTTATCTTAAACCAATTTCTTTTTTTTTCTCTCATTGAATTTATTGGTACTTTTTAGGTATACAGTACAGTTACATTCATCATTGAGATCTTGTACCTTTACATAACAGGTTAAATCAATTTCTTAAATTCACAAAATACAAAAGGACTTTGGAATTCATTTTCACTCTTTAAAAAAATGTCACCTCTAGGTACTGAAGATGATTCTTTTAGTGTACGAATTTGGGAAAAGAAATTAGCCCCTTTGTTATACAAATGCTACAGTGAAGAAAACCAGTTTTCAAGGTCCCAAATGAATTTCAATTCTTCCTTAAACCTAAAACTAAATAAAAATATAAACAAATACAAAATTAAATTATCTGAAAATTAAATGGATTCTATACAGAACACATGATAACGTCTCAGTCAACTATCTAGTAATTTTAACATAGAATCAAAAGTCAAATGATCAGCTATATAAAATTCAATTAAGCCTGGGATCATTGAGGGCTATACTTTCTCATTCTCTGGACTTTCCAGAAAGCTGAACAAAGTGTGTGTTTAATAAATATGCTATCCTCATAATAGAATTCACATTCAAGTGCTCTAATAAGTTCATTTAATATGTCAATGAATCAGTTACATCAAAAATTGTTTTACAATTTCCTAATATTCAACTATTTTAATTTATAATAAAAGGTGGGGAAGGAGAATCCTTTACTGGGATTCAGTACAGCATTTACTGAACAGCTCACTGGGCAAAGCACTGTTTAAATGTTTTACTAGTCCCTGTGAGAGAGAAAGGCCAAAGTGAAAAATTTGGATCCTTTCTTAGGAAACAAAATCTATTTAGAAATACAAATGTAGAGAAAGACCCATAGTCAAGCACATTTCTCGTTTTATTTATTTTTTTGTCGGAAAATTACCAGATTAATGTTTCACTGCTTAAAAATGATTGACCTTTATAAGGTAGGACAATCAAACACAGAAGAAGACCAGGGATGTGTGTGAAAGATATGAATCACTAAAACTTCTCTTCAGTGATAAAAGATGTAAAATGTGTCTTGATTAAAAGGCACAGTCTATACCGAGGAGAAAGAATTAGCATTCTGAAACAGAGAAAATACACAGAAGTTCTTAGCAGACTCTATAACTGAGTCACAATGAAGTGAAGTTACAGTCATGAAATAATGTAAAGAATAAAATTATATATTCTGATTCCTGAACAAAAAGCAATTTAGAAATGTGCTATTATCTTTGAGATAGTTGGTAAATAAACACCTGCTCACTGCTTGAAAACTTTTGCTGAATACAGGATAGCACAAAGTAGACAAGGCTATTTTTATACTTGCATACAGTTATTTCACATTAAGAGATTCAAAACAATTCAGAGAAAATTTCACAATGGCTGTCCCTGTAGCAGCATCTTCTGATTACTTGGAGATTTGCACAGTGCAATTCACATTGTAATTCAGATACAACCATCATTCACCTTCACTTGATCCGTGAAAAATCAAGAACCAATAGTGGCAATAGCCAAAGCAGTTTGTAGATGAGGTGAAGTAACTTGATCTTGCCTTATGATACATACACCTTCTATTATCACTTGGGCTGGGTTAAACACTGTAACTGAGCAACGGATCTAATGTAGTATCGGGTAACAAGCAAGATAGGGCAAGGCCAAAGTGATATATGCTCTTAATTCAGTTGGCAACTAGGTTTATTCTCACAAATAGACTAATCAAAAGAATCCAAATATAATTAAATAGTTAATTTATAGGCATCAGGTATGGGTTATGAGATACATCATTTGCTTGAACTGAGAGTTAGGCCTGGAAGTAATTCAGAAAGTGTCCCAAAGAGAGGAAAAAGCAGAGGCAGATATTACTCAACAGGGTAACGTTCAAGAAAAAAAAAAAGAGTCAAATTTACATAGTAACATTAATTCCAGTAATATGATCAACTGAAAATTGGCCCATTTTTATATAATTTGTGCACAAAGAATCTTCATTCAATTGCAAAGTAATTTTTATATGCCATAAAGTTAGTTAAGATTGTGCTGATGTCCGAAAGCCACCGAAAGGGAAAACTGAGGCCCTGCTTCTGAGACTCCGAGAGACTAATTGGTCTCAGCCCTTCTCACGACACTTTTAGAAAGCACCAGTAGCAGAGGTGGCAAACTCTCTGTTGAAGGAATGTTTTTCTGATATTTGACCTCATTGCCCATTAGGCCTTATTCGTGTCATAGTTTTTTCCCTCTTAAACAGAGGTGTGATTGTTAACCATGGATCTGAGGGGTGTCAGCAGAGAGAATGAAAGTCACCCTCTCCGTGGCAGGTCTGACAAGGAAAAGGACACCATAGAGGACAGCTACCAGCAGACACTGTTGCTCCTTCTTGCCCTGGTGACCTTGGCTAAGTGGAACAGAGCTGACTCTGACTGTTTATATGCTTCTTCCAAAGATTTTATAGCGAAAGAACTGGGGATGTGCTCAGAATCAGTGAGGATGATGAGGCATCACTCGAACAATTTATGGCACATGTCACATGTCTGCTTCTCTAAGTTGGAAGGATAGTCAGACTTCGGAAATTACCTAGGCAAATATCATCTTATTAAAGCAGTGTCTGCTGTTTGTGCTTGTGGCAAATTGAAATCTATTCATGAACAGAATTGGGGGCTGCTAAAAAAATCTCTTTTACCCAGTTGGATCCCATGTACATGTTTCTTATAGATATTGTTAGACTGTGATTTTCCATATGAAAGGCCTTAGAGGAAACACAACTGCCATATTGAAATTATCTGATTGTACTTTATTTCTTATTTAGCTACCTTACTATTTCAAAAGTTCCAATTACAAAGATTTATGTTCTAGGCGACAACTTTTGTCGTTAGCAACTCTTTAAATAGCACAAGTGATGCTAAGGAAACAGATAACTTTTTTGACATATGGGCTTTATTTATAACTCTGATGGCCATGTGACACAGAGAGTTGATACCGAAGAAGCAGCTTATTACACTCAATCAACAAGCATGAAGCAGTAATCATTTTGCCATTTGTGCCAATGCTATGAAACTCTATGGAAAAAGCAGCCTTCATTTTTAGTCATTTGAAAAATACTCTAAAATCCTTAAGAAGGACATTTTAATAATAGTTTAGTTGTGGAATGGGAAAAGTCTGTCCTCAAAATGTTTCCTTCTAATGTGCTTATTTGATTTCAGACCATTTTTTTAAAGATAGATGATCTATCGTAACTTCAGTTTCAGGGGTAATAATAGTAACCCATATTCTACATACTACATCTCTAGTATGAAAGGCTTTCAGTGTCTTCTTCACAATTACATCTGAGAAAGGTACTCCGATTTCTCAGGTTTGCTGCTAAAGATACAAGGGCTTGGAGAGCTTTCTCACACAGCAAGCCCTGCAGGAAACTTTAGGAACAACAGGGGTCTTCCATAAACATATCAGTAATACAATAAAATGCTACCTTTCTACAGACTTTCAAAGAGTTGACAATGACAAATTCCCAAATGTATCCCAAACTATAGTCACATATGTTGAATGTAAAGTATTTGGCTTTATGTCTGTTTATTCTAGTGCAGTTGATGTCTGCTCTTTCCAAGGGTTGTAATAAGTCAGGTGATGGTCAGCCCATACATTTGTATTCAGAATTCATTAAGCAGATATAAACATGCAGTACCAATTATTTACGCAAGAATATGTGCCTTGCGACCTATGTACCAGCTGTCATACCAGGCATGATAGGATTTAGACATGAGACGGTGAGAGAGTATCTGTGAGAATATACATGTGAAAACATTTAGCATTCTGTGCATGCTTACTAAGCCCCAGTTCAGCATGTTCTCTGCTCTCACAGAATTTAAAATCCTTAAACCAATAAAATGCTACACTACTGTGACTAGTAATTATTCTTACTAAATTATTTAGTGCCATAGTGATACTGACAATAACAATCTAATTGATAAACTATTCAGATGAATTTTATCAGTTTAAAAACTTCAATAATAGGGAGCTACATAATAATAATTCATAAGACACAAGTTAATCTTTTCAGAGTACTACTGTAGACTTGATGTCATAACCAAAATGTTAAATTTTTAATCCAAAATGTGATATGTTCCTCTGAACCCTTGGATTAAATTCAGCCTTTTTATTATATCCTTCATAAATTGCATGTAGTATATATATTGAATATATATTTAATCTCTTGAGTATTGCTTGGCTGGAAAAGATTTTTTAACTGACACTTTGGTGTTTGCTTTGGCATACCTCAACGTGAGGGCCTTGACTGAGATTAATGGCAAAACAGCGTGGAAATGTGGGGAGAAGTAGGAACTGCACTTAAAACTTGGTTGGAAAATGCAGTTGTGCCCGCAAGTAGTTGTAGTATTAAAGCTGTAGCAGCGCAAATACGTAGGACATAAATAAAAAGTTGAACAGCTCAGAAAAGGTGAGGAACATGGTCATAATCTCTCCTCAACGCAAAAATCAGGTCCAGGAAATAAAAATAGTTCATCAAGCGATCATCCTGTTTCTGAGCATGGGCTCAGTTTTCACTTCCAATTGCAGCTCTCCCCAGATAGCTAACTCTGAAATCAGTGGTTAGGTGGATGCTGCGCCTCTCCAGCTGTGCACAACCTCTGCATTGCTAGCAGAACTGTTATAGGGATGGACATCAATTTCTATGGGAAGAGTGTGGCCTGATTGGGGATGGGCGAGGGGAAAGTGAAACAATCGCATTTCATTAGGCCGGGAAGAGCTATACTCACCTAGAGAACAAGTCCATGTACTTTTGGATATGCCCATATCCCCCCGAATTCCTTACCAGTCTCAACTACTCTTGTCTTCCCTTAGTAAAATAGAAAAAGAACAATGGATCCCCTTTTAACCTTTATGCCGTACCCAAAACAGGAAGGGTAGGAGTCATTTTGCCTACAAAAGAAAGAGCCTCCAATAAGCTGTCTCCATTTCTCCCAACACAGTCATGTGCACAGACACACAGACATTATGCACACACACACACACACACACACACACACACACACGCGCGCGCTGCTCAGGCTCTATTCTGTCCCTTGGATACTATTTTGTGACTGACCACTGAGAGATCCCCCTCTATCTTCAGCTCTCTGAGTGCACCTCCTCCTGCTCTCTCTCTCACACACTTTACATCTCATTATTGTCTCCTCCATTTGGAATTTACCCTGAATATGCATCTGACTTCATCTGACCTTGTTGGATATTTATATAAAGTCTGATTTCCTATTGGATGTCCTGAAAATCCTTTAATTTTTTCTCTAGCTTTACTACTAATAAATAAACACTGCAACACACACAAATACACACAAAACCCTACACACACCACATCATGCTTGCAGACATAAAACAGGCACCAAAAGAAGCCTCAAAATTTCAAACTCTGCCTCGCTTTTATGCCATTAATATACTCTTTGATCTAAACTTGACCCATTTGAGGTGCTAGCCAATTTTACAGCTCGGTTGAGTAGCATTTTAAGGTTCATTACAGGGCCTAAAATGATATGCATTGCCTCCCACTCTGAAATATAAGCTTTTTAAAAATAAAGTACCACTATAAATAGAACTGCTCTGAAATTCCATGTGGCACATAATTAAGCGGTAACACTTAAGCAGTCAGCTATTCTGGAGGACTTCTCACTGTCACACTGAAGTTCAGAAACTACAGAACCCTTATTCTGGGCAGCATCAAACCAATAACAAAGGCAGCCACAGACACAGTTCATCAGAATGTGGGGTGACCAAGCAACGTCTGGAAGCAAAGGCCCCTACACCAAGTGGATTTTATTTCTTTCACTCAGAGGCACTGAGGCATTAGTGCCGAGAACCTTGGCTGCACGTTTGCCCCTCCTGATGAACAGGGGCTGGCCTTTTCTCCTGCTGCCAGAGAGGCTTATTCACCTCCTGATAAACTTCAGAAAATTTACAGCTCCAAGGAAGTGAAGCTTCTCTCTGGACAGTAACTCTATTGACATGCACATGTTGGTTTTTTGTTTTTTGTTTTTTGTTTTTTTCTGTCCATGGCAAGCTCGAAGGAGAGGGACCACAGAAGAGCAAGCAACAGAAAGAAGGAAGAGATGTTTCTTACCTACTACAGAACCTGCAGCTTCTTTTGCCTTTGCAAAGTGCCAGCCCCAGTTACTTTAGTAGACCTCCAGTGTGATATCATTAACAGTTAATGAAGTAGGGGACTGTAAGGAGGGGCAAAGAGGGAGGGAACCTCAAGAGGTCATCTGTGCCAAACGACACCAAGAGTATCTCCTTTCCTTCTCCAGTGACTAATTGCTTCTGAGCCACGGGACTGAATAGCAGGGCCTCCAGAAGCTTTCTCTGAGCCAGTGCGGCAAAAGGAAGGGGGAAGAATGGGGTGAGGAAGAAGATGAGAAGCAGAGAGCAAGAACAGCCAAGAAGTAAGCAGAGCATGGATATGTAATAAGACAAACTAAACAAAGGAAGGGAAAGAAGAAAGGGGATTGATGATGAAGTGAAATGGAAAAGTAAAACCGAAAAAGAACTGCTCTGACACGAACGTAATGAAGGAGTTGTTCAGTGGTCTTGGAGACATTTTTCCCACTCTCCTAAACAGATGAAAGGAACAAAACGAACGATCACTCACTGTCCGATCGGTGCCTTGTAGTATAGCCTCATGAGGTGCTAGTCGGGAAACAGGTAGAGAAACAGATTTTGGTGCTGGAAAAAAACAGTGTAGAGGTTACTTAGTGCAACCTCTTATTCAACGTCAGAATTCTTTACACCTTTTCAGAGAAGCAATGCTGAACTCTCTTCTTGTACATCCTTTCAAACATTATAGGGCGCTACAACCAAACAGGTTCTTGTCAGTTTTAGATAACACTCAGATCTAGAAATGTCTTCCTCCTTTGTAGCTGAAAGCTATTCTTCAGAGCTTCTTTGCAATAATTCTATTTATCCAGACTCAGGGAGAGATACCGGACGAGAAACAGGATAGAAAAGAGAAAAAGCATGTTAGGACATCTTATAGTATCTAGGACGTATAAATACAAAGTAAAGCTATACTTTAAAGTCTTGGATTATTATTATTTAAAAAGAGAAAAATTAGAAGTGAAAAGGGATATTAAAAGATATCCACCATTGAAAAACAGATAAACTGGGAAGAATGTTCTGTCATCTAATATTGTGATCCAATTAATTTTATTCTACTATTTTTCTGATGACATTTTTTTCTTTTTTATCACCTCCAAAATGGAACTCTATTGTGGGGGAATAATTGCAGAAGCTTAATTGTTTTTTTGTGTGTGTTACAATTCTGAAAGTGCTATTTTTCTCTGATTTTCCAAGTATAATCATAATCTCCACAGTCCAGCTTTTGATTTAAGAATGATGAAGTTAAATGTGTGATTCTTCTGTCTAACATGGTCATTACACGGTTGGAAATACAGTAATTGCTTTTTTGTTTTTCAAGTGTTAGTGATTTCTGTACTATAAATAAATTGGATGTTCCATAGCTGTTCATAAACAGCTTCCATCTGGGGTCCAAAATTATAATGGTTTTGGCTTGATACATATTTATATGTTGCCAGCATCTGAAATCTATTAAAAAGAGATTTTTATCTACCATTAACTTATCCTGCCACACATTCCTGAATTTCCAAACAATTTCAAAATGCCTTGATAATTCTTATTTTCTAACAGGAGATAAAAGTTTATAGAAACAATATTAGTGTTTAATTCATTTCCCATTCCCGTGATTACAGATTTTTACTGTGGAGAACATATCTTTACATACAATATATTATATCAAAAGTTATGTGAAGACAATAGCTATACTAAAGATATTTTTCCACTTGTACAATTTCTTAAATTTCAGTTTTCTTATCTCTCTATTAAAAGTCTCTGAGCTAAAAAAAAAATGAAAGGTCAGTTTTGTCATATAAATGTGATACAAGCATTCAGGTGATAGTAGAAGATTTCAAGAAATGAAGATATCAGATTTTTTTCAAAACCCTGCTTAATCAGACTGGCTGGTACTTTTTCATTCACTTCTGGCTGTTGCTGCCTAGTTTCTAATGGCCCTGACATGAGAAATATTTTCTTTAAAAGTTGTATGCCCTCTGCTTCTGGATGTAGCCCAAGCACTCTGGATCCTGTGCCAAGAAACAGCACCTGCTGAAGGCTTTGCCACATGCTGCCCATCCATGAGCCAGCAGGTACACAGGAAGGAAGGAGACCTGTGGGTGTATCAGGTACCTTGGGTCTGATGTACCTGCAGGGGCCCTCATGAAGTTATATCTCTTTTATGCTATCTTGAGGAAGAAGGACACACAACCACCAAACAAAAATTTTGCATTTTTGAAACTTAACTGGATGGACATCAAGTTAGAATCTGATTACAAAGCTAACATACAAACATAATTGATATAAAATGATATAAAAGCTGCAGCTAAATATTCATAGCCACACAGAAATGTCCATGCAATTTTACTAAATGTATAAAGCAAGCTCCAAAGTAATATGTAAATAATAGTTTTGAATGAAACGGACATATAATTTAGATATGTAAATATAGGTGACATTGGAAAGATGATTATCAAAATGGTTAAGAATTAATTTTCTGGCAATAAAATTAGGTCCTTTTATGATTTCCTGTGTTTTCCATTATTTTTGTTATTGTATCAATGATCTTATATTAAACTGTTATATACATAAACATTCTGATCGAATTAAACAGTGCAAGATAAATGATGCAAATATCTCCACTCTGGTTACCAAAAGGTGGTCATCTGACTTTAGGATTTCATAGAAAAGTTTATGGTCAAAAATTTTAAAATGGAAGCAACCTTTCGTCTAGTGAAGAGAGTGCTTCTAAAATTCATTTGAGGAAAAATAAAACTGTAGTCTGTTCAGCCCAATGTCCTTTTTAACAGGCATTATAACAAAATAACAATGTGAATAGACATGCCCTCCGCGGTGTCTCCCTCTCGAATGTTCCTCAGTCATGTTTCGTCGCCCTCCCTGGCTTTTCTCACCAGATGGAGGTGGAAGCACACAGTGTGCTAGAAACATTTGCTCCTCCTACTCAAGATTTGCACCGACAGATTCTCCTCCATAATTTCCCTTAAACTGTGTCATAGCCAAGACCATTACAGAATTAGCTCAAAACCTGCAAATGTAATGGTTGATAACATTTATTACAATGGAAGCTAAGCTACTGTGAGGTAGATGTAGATTGTCAAGACGTTAGATTTGGTTAGTTCGTACTTTTCTTGTGTTTTCTACTCTTAGGAATCAAATGACTCTGTCATTACTGTGCACACTCTTGTTTGGCATGAAAACAAGACCATCTTACTGGCATTCTTTTCACAGTTCTCTTATTAGTGCACTCAGTTGGTATAAAAGCTCACACTGAATCCGAGATTTCATCCAAAGTTATGTGTTTTTTTTCTGCAACTCTGCTGCAGAAATTATATTCATCTTATATGGCATCTTATTTTACATTTTAATTCAAAATTATAAGTTAGTAAGGAATTATTTTTTATTTCATTCATTTTTAAAAGATACATGGTTCTTTGAAACTAGGGTCGCAAGGAGTGTAGTATTTATCCTCTTTTTCCAGAGAACTATATAATGGGAATTCCATGTTAAATTCTTACCTGTGATGGATACAAAATACTTTTAGCTTGTTATCCTTGTGTAGTAAAAACAAGAACATTGACAATGACAGCTGTAATCTACAAATGGAAATAATTTGAAGAATGGGGCCATTGTGCTGCTTCCCCTGTAAATACTGCCTGAGTGATTTCTAATTTTAAACACACCATAGACACTACTTGCACATCTGGCATTATCATCATGTTTTTGTACATTTTGCAATCTATGGAGTCTGAAAGTATAGTGTGAGTTACCTGTGAGACATCAGGAGAGAAGCTTCTGGAAGTCAGTCTCTGCAGGGACCATCTTGACCCTACCCTCAGAAGCCCTAGCCTGATGATGAAGATTGTAGAAAGAGATACCAAGTCTAGCTTTGCTGCAAAATACCTGTAGCTAACTATGGAACTCACAATGGTGCCATTAATGCTTCCTGAGTGTTTGTAGGCAGAACTGGCATTACTGGGTGGCATTGCAGAAAAGAAAGTTGCACCTCAGCAGCTATATAAACCAATGCATTGTACACTTGGCATAGGTGGTTAAAAATGGAGCCCTCTGATTACTGATACATAGAATGATTTAAGCTCTATCACAAGCAAATTTTGAATAGAGTTTCAGGAAAAATTGTGTTATATGTGAAATTTAGTGTGGCCAATCTCTTCAGAATTTCTACCTGAGGTCCTCAAAACCTAGAAAGTTCAAGTTATAACCTAGGATAAAATTTAACTCTTAGTTCTTAACTCCTTTAGACTTAAATACTTACACCTGTCCCATGGGTCTCAAATCTCTCTTGCCTTTGACGCTTTTAAATTTTTGACCAGTGATAATATAATCAAGTAACCTGTGATTTTTTTAAATGTTTTTTTTTAAGATTCTATGCAAGTGTTTTCTAGGAATAGTTATTTTACCAATCTTCCAAAAGTAAGATTCCAACAAAAAATAACTTTAGATAAGCAAGACATGGATCGTGTGTTCTTAGATGATTTTGAGATAGATACTGAGATGGTTTGTCTCAAACAATAAATGTAAGAATATTGCCCTAAAGATTATGACAATTTACTGTTATACACATGCATATGCAAGTGTTTTCTAGGAATAGTTATTTTACCAATCTTCCAAAAGTAAGATTCCAACAAAAAATAACTTTAGATAAGCAAGACATGGATCGTGTGTTCTTAGATGATTTTGAGATAGATACTGAGATGGTTTGTCTCAAACAATAAATGTAAGAATATTGCCCTAAAGATTATGACAATTTACTGTTATACACATGCATATATATAAGGCTGAGTCTCTTTTTGTGAATTATACTCTTTTGGAGCAGGAGAGAACTTTTAGGAATAATGTGATCCAATCTTCCTACTTTCTAAATGCAGAGACTGAGACCTAGAGAAAAGCTAATGATCAACCCACAGCACACAATTAGTGAACAACATAACATGGCCTACAAATCATGGAACTTGACTCCTACACAGAGAGCTGGTAAGTAGGTTCTGCCTTGCCTGAAAGTATAGGATCGCTGGATCACTGAGGTATCATTTTGTGAACTACTACTTCAAGTCATTAAGGCTCTTTCATCTTAAGCATCTTAGAAACAGTTTCAGAAGTGGAGGCCTAATAGGCCTTCAAGATTAAAGGAGCTTCCAAAAGTGCTCCTCTTGGGCCTTGAGGGATGTTTACTAGCAGTGATCATCTAGTTCGCGATATTCAAAGCAGCACAAAATAACATATATTCTGAAAATAAGAATATCAACCTACAAATGAATGCTTCTGAAAGAATCTCTAAAATGTGAACAGATGGTCTGTGTATCTTAGAAACACAAATAATGAGAGCTTGTATTCTCCGCAGAATTATTTAAAGAGTAATCTAACATTACTATCCTTTCTTTTCTTCTCTAAAAATGTATCTAAGCTGTGGATGAAGGGAATACTGCATAAGTTTAAATGTTTCTAGATTTAAATAAAACATCTGATATTCTTTTGCAATATAATTATGGATAAGAAGAAGAACAAATAATAGTACATGGACTATATGTTCTAAGACCCCCCAGTGGTTGCCTGAAAGCATAGATTATACCAAAGCTTCTCTATATGTGTTCTTTCTTACATTTATACACTATGCTAAAATTTAATTTGCAAATTGAGCACAGGGATAGATTAACAAGAATAATTAATAATCAAATGCGACAATTGAAACAATATACTGCGCATTAATAAAAGTTACCTGGATGTGGTCTCTGTCTCTCTGTCTCTCCCTGTCTGTCTCCTGTCTCTCTATCCCTCTCAGAGTATCTTATTAGACAGAACTCAATTCTTCTTCATGTTTTCTTGAGATGAGTGAAGTAAGAATAGCGATGGAAGTATTGTGTTGTAGCATCACTTGAACATAGGCACTGGATTACTTTGAGAATCAATCCATTATCAGAGAAGGCTACTGAATAGTTTATATAGAGTGCATACACTGGGTAAAGGTGAATAGTTTATGCAGCGTGTATACACTGGATAAAGAGAAGACATGATAGACATTCTAAGCAAGACGGAGCTGGACAGCATGAAATTTCATCATATTACTACAAATGGCATGAAATTTAAAGCTTAGAAATTGTTTATTTCTGGAATTTCTGCTTAATATTTTTGGACCATGGTTGATTTTGAGGTAACTGAAACTGCAGAAAGCAAAATGACTATAAACAGGACAATTGTTATATAATGCTTTATATAGATAAACAGCTGTTTGAATAATGATACTAAAGGAAAAAGATTCATATAACCTAAGGAAGTCACTTGTGTCTAGAAATGCTGTCTTATTAGCTTTGGTTTGAAAACACAGAGATGATTGTCATCGGGTTCTGTAAGTATTTATTTTTTCTGTCTTTCCAAACAGAAACAATGTAGCTGATGATGCTATCATAGTGACACATGAAAGTGTTATTTAGAATAAAAAACAAAATTGAAACAAACTGAGAAACATTTAAAACAGGTATGAGGTTTAACCCCTTCTCTTGAGATTTCCAGAGAGAGAGAGAGAGAGACAGACAGACAGACAGAGGGAGAGAGAGAGAGACTTTTAGATTCCAGTATACTCATGTTTAAATTTTTAAAGCAGGTTTAATAGTTTCTACCTAATAGGGTGAAGCCTAAATGACATAGTTTAGGGTTCTTTAACAGTTCAAGGTGCACAGTAAAGAGCTCAATTAGTGTTTGTTGAATAAATAATACATTGATAACATTTATCAGATGGTATTTGTTTTCATTCTACTTTTATTGGTCATGAATCTCCGGTGCCCATTTTGTTCTACTATTTGACATAATATAATTGTGCACAGAATGAAAGAGAGCTGAAGAGTTCATAACAGTTTCAGGGATAGCCAACTGAGAAAATGATAGCTCAATATCATACAAGTTTAGATACATTGTGAATGTGAGTTTAACTATCAAAACCAAATTGGAATAAAAAAAAAAACTTGTAAGTTCCTGTTTTTCAGAAATTAAAAATAAATTACAAAAGATGTGAGAAATCTGACTTAGTGAAATTCACATGGAAAATTCTGGGGTTTATGTAGACATAGAGCCAATACTAAATAAGAATGTTTAATACACTAATAAGGTTAAAATATACTATAGTATTAACAGTAAGAGTACTTTCTGAGATACGTGTACTAGGCCTTTCAATTATTATTACTACATAGTGATGTCCACAGTTTAAAGATTAGAAAAAATTAGTTTAGAAAGATCAATTGCTCTCACCATGTAGTTGACACTGACCTGGAACTCACTATGTAGCCCAGGCTGGTCTTGAACTCACAGCATCTCCTGCCTCAGCCTCCTGAGTGCTGGGATTACAGGTGTGCACCACCACATCTGGCAACACAGCAGTTTAAAATGTGCTTGACATGTCTTTGCAATGCAAATCCAAGTAATAACATTACAATGTCTTGTATTTGAAATACTTAGCAATTACATTTATTGCGGAGATTGTACATGTACAAAACATACCGCGATTCTCTCTTTGTCCCCTTTCCTCCCATTCCTCTCTGATCCCTCTAGCTCTTATTCCCCTTCCTATTTGTAAAAGCTCTATTTTTCTTCAGTTCTCTTTGTTATCCTTTTCCGCTTTCCTTTCTTCCTCCCTCTCTGCACCTCTTGTCCCACGCTCCTTTTGAAAAACATCTCTGTCTATTATCTCTTTTATTTTGCTTTTTATTTATGTTTTGGGTTTCTCCTAAAAGAAAATTCACGTGATATTATCATGACTTTATCCACCTCCTGGCTCCTACAACATTCTACTTGGTGAACATTAAATGCATTAATTTCAGGCTCCTCAAAAAAAAAAAAAAAGAAAAGAAAGATTAATTGCTTTTTTTAAAGGAAGATAGCTAATATGTGGCCAAATTATCTTTCTAATATCCACTGGTTTGACAATAATGCATGACACTGATTTTGAAAATGCACAATATATTTCAGATCAAGACACGAAAGGTTTATTTGAAAGTACACATTTTTGAAAAATTCTGATATTCTGAAGGATTCTAGAGAAACAGTTGATACAGTGAGACAAAGTTGATGAGACAAAGAGATTCAGCATTTAGAAGAGAAAATTTAAAATTGAACAACTGTGGCTGCCCTCCAATGCTGAAGGTCTATCATTTAATAACACTACCAGGTGGCTGGTTCATTTAACGATGGGTAACAGGATAAATGTGAAACAAGGGAGATAAAGATAGAATTAGATACATCCAGAAATGAACAGGATTTCTTCAAAAGCAACACATTTTTATTATAGAAATGTTTCTGTCCTATGAACTTTAATTTTATCTTACTATATGCACAGCTATTTTTTATTAAAATGGTTCAACATATTCTAGTCAGACAATATAAATTTAAGCTCGTAAGTGAACAGTCACAGTGAATCTAGTTTCACAACATCTACTTGTCATTCTGTTTCCGTGCAGCCACCTCTCTGGTCTTAATCTCCTGTTTACCCTCTGATGAAGTTCACATCCCACATTCAAGCAAGGAGCCCTGTATTGATGAGTTTATTGAATCTATTATTTTTAATCTCTGAGGACTATTTCATAAACCCGGATGTTTACCATACACCTCTCACTGGTAAATATGAATTCTGCCCAAACATGTCCTACTAACCGTTGCAAACAAGTGCATACTCAGCCCTCATGCCTTTTCCTTTCAAAGTCTTGGCTTTCACGAATGAATCTGTCTCCCAACCCATTATTGTCTGATTAATATTGAATCCAAATCCTTTTCTCTTTGTTACTTTCCATAATATTTTACATTCAAAGGGCTTTTCTGTATTGAAATTCCTGTAAACTTTATACATTTACATTGTATACCAATCTTTCATACATTTGCATGCAATCTTGTCTGTTAATTTATCTCCACTAAATTGTAAGAAATTCATAGACTCAAATAATTCAAATCCTGATTAGAAGAATGCCAACTTTAATTTTAATGTGTTATAGGGCTAGCTATGGACAAATTATTCAACTTCTCTGAGATTTATTTTCTGTACAAATTAATTGAGAATATGATCCTTACCTCACTGCTTTTGGAAAAATAAAAAGATAATACATACAAAGTTCTTGTTCTGTACAATGTGTTTAATAAAATTAGTTCACTTCATCTCTGTTCTTCCAAAATTCCATGAGCTCCTTTGGAATAACTAACTGAATTCCTAAGTATAGAGGTATATGGTGAGTGTCTTATTGTCACTATATAAGATATATATATGTGTGTGTGTGTGTGTGTGTGTGTGTGTATAAACATATATACATATGCAGATACAAATATTTTTATTGTACTCAGAGGCATAACAGATATGGTTAGTGAAATAGAGTAGTAATTATCATGATACCAACAATAATAATAGCTGTTTTGGATTCTCAGCTGCCTAAGTGCCACCCCAAAGCATAGGGGCTTTTTAAAAAATGGGGACTACTTCCAAAATGACACTACGAGGAGATCAGTAAACCTTGTCCTATGTGAAACCATTCCTAAAGATAACTAGCACTTAAAAATCTAAAAATTTTCCTTAGAGCATATAGCAAATGGAGAAAATCTGTTCAGTCGCTAAAGAATGGTACGAGTTGGTGGAACCCGGGCCACAGAAGCCAGCCTCCTCTTTCCTGGCGTCCTTCGAAAGATGGACACATCCATTCAAGGTATTTAAGATCAAAAGCCAAGGGCTCTTCTCTTTCCTCTTCTGATTTCCTGATATATTTCCTCAGGAGGAGGAAGCAACGGCTTCTCATCTCCCCCTGCTCATTTATGTCCTGTGTCATGCAACATGACCAGGTGAAGACGTGAATTTGACTCCTCTTGTTGATGGGACTCAATTGAGATTACATAATCGAAATTTTTGAAAAAGATTTTATTGAGGCTAAAAAGAAATGAATAGCTAGCTGGGGATTTAGCTCAGTGGTTCCGGGGCCTACCTCGCAAGCTCAAGGACCCAAGTTCAATAC